GTGGGGCGACTGTAAAGGACCCTTTGTCCGGAGAGGCCAGAAGCAGAACGGGCCAGATCTGGTGGTGACAGGTCCCCGCCCTCCACGCCCTCACTTGGCTGGCTCTTCTCTTTCTTCCGCAGCCAGTTCCGGGGCCTCCCACTCAGCAGCCCGGCACAGAGGGACAGCCCAGGCCTCTGACATGTTTCTGGACTCACATCTGCCTTTGAAAGGAAAGGAAGGCTCTGGTAAAGGAGAAGGCCCAAGCGGCAGGGCCATCAAGGCCATTGCGGGGCCAGCCAAGGGGCAGTTTATACTTTGGAGCCTTTAATAGTGAAATCTGCATTAATCGATCCCACGGACTCAGAATCTGTCAGTTGTGACGTTGGCTACACTAAGGTTGCTTTTCCACTGTCCATGAAAGAAAAGGTTTCTCAAACGAATGAATAGAGGCAATTACGTTGACTTCTGCCCCCACCCCCCCGCCAGGCGAGTAAAGAGTGAACCAGCTACTGTGTGTTTTGCGTGCGTCTGCGGAAGGGTGCTGCTAAGTACACACGGATCTCTGCATCGAAGCACGTTCTGCAGACTCAGCCCCGAAGCCTGGGCAGCAAGCAGTTCCCATAAGGAAGTAATGGTAGGAAAAACTCTCCTTCCCTCCAGCCCAGGAGTGAGGCTGTGAATTCCCTCCGCCCTCAGGCATGGGTGGGAGGACCGTGGAGGCTGGGAAATGAGAAAGTCCCTGGACAGGGTTCAGTCATGGCAGGAGTTTTGAATAGGAGGGAATCTCCAGCTCCACCCCTCCCAGGGCCCCAGGCAGGGAGGAGCCAAGCTTGCGTACAAGGGCAGTGCCGCCACCTGTTCTGTAGGGCTGGCTGGGCTTGGACAGTGGGAATGTCCACGGTGATAATAGGGCCTGTGGACCACAGCACTCTCCCCGAACTTCTGCCCTGTTTCGGCCCTGGTTGTTCGGGATTTACTGTTATTTGCAGCTCAACCTAATCCCAGTGAATTCCCTGCTTCCTGGGTTGAAGATCAGACCCAGGGGAACCTGACCACAGAACCACCTAAAAGCCATCCTTCTCCGAAGCAGAGATTACAGCCCATTTAAAAACCCAACGAAGGCCATGGAGACTGTCCCAGAAAGATGCACCCATGAGAGTGCGCTCCGCCCACACCTCAGTATTCTTCCTGGGGTCTAGGCCTGGATGACCAAGGTGAAAACCTTGCCAGGAAAGACGCAGTTACCGAAGCACCCACCCCCAGCTCAAGCGGGGTCAGGCAGGCCCACTCTCACCGGGGGTCAGCAGAGGGCAGGGGACAGGGTCTCTGCTCCCCCCACCCCACCTGCTTTGTTGGCACGCCACTTGCTCTTGAGCTGTTACTCATGGCTGGAACCTCGGGCACTGGGCAAAGTGCTGGGGCCACCGTGAGCCCCTGGGGAGCTCACAGCTAACTGGACAGAAGGCAGGTGAGCAGGGCAGCGGGACAGGTTTAACATTAAAGGTATCAGCAAAGGCCAAAGGTGTGGAAGAGAAAACCCCGAATTCCGCTGCATGGAGGAGGCCACATCTGAGTTTTGCTGATAGGTAAAAGGGGGTCGTTTATACAAGAAACCGTGTCACAGAAGTCTGGGTTGCCCTTGGCACGTTTGGGGGCCAGAGGGCATACAGAGGACAGAGGGCAGGCCAGTGCCCTGCAGAGTGGTGGGTGACGGGAGGGTCTGGGGAGGGGCCCATGAAGCGGGCCGTGTGCAGCTGCACGGGGCCTTGAATGCACGCTGGGGATTCTGACTCGATGCTGCAGGCAGCAGAGCCAGAGAATGACGCAATCAGATCTGCCTGGCAGTGACAAGAAACGGGGAGCAGAGGGGACGGGAGACTGGAGTCTGGGAGCCCTTGGGCAGTGACTGGGGGTCAGGCGCAGGCTTTGACCTGGTCAGTGGACACGACACCTCAGCAAACAGCACCTGCAGGCACCGAAGCCTGCAGTTCCCACGGCGGAGCCCTCGCCTCTCCTCGCGGCCTCTCAGAGCAGGCCAAGCTGCCCGCCTGTTTTTTCAGGTGCACTGTGCTTCCTCCCCGCCCCTCTCCCCCGCCTCCCTCTATCTCCCGGGCTGGCTCCAAAACTGCCTTTCATTCCAGAATCACAGAGGAGCCTCAGATGCAGACACTCCCAGGGGACCTGACTTCCTCTAATTCACCCTCGTCCAACAGCTGGATCCCACAGACGCTTCCTGAGACTCGGCCATGCGCAGTGTGAGGGAGACGCAGATGAAACGGTCCAGACCCTGCCCCGGCGGTTCAGCGATGCACGGGGAGGAGGGAGGCCGATCAGCCTGGGGTGTGAGCACACGAGGCGGTGGGCGTTTGGGGAACCTAGGAGGAAAGGATTCACCTCTCTGGGTGGAGTGGAAATGGGTCAGACTTAGTCTCGATGGTGGACCCTGAGGTTTAAAATCCCCCGGAAGATCCGGTTTTCGGCTCTCCGTTTCCTAGCTGTGTGACCACAGCAAATCACTCCGCATCCCTGCCCCTCCTTTAGAGAGGGGCAAAGTAGAGTAGTCCTCCCTTACCTGCAGGGTGTATGTGCCAAGGCCCCCAGGGGGTGCCCGAAACCAAAGATAGTACGAAACCCTGTACATAGTGCTTTTTCCTATACATACACGCCTGTGGTGAAGTTTCATTTATAAACCAGGCACAGGAAAATATGAACAGCAATAACTAATAATAAAATAGAAGAATTACAACAATATGCTATGATAAAAGTTAAGTGACTGTGCTCTCTCTGAATGTCTTATTGTCCTGCACTTCCCCTTCTTCTTCTCAGGATGGGGGGAGGTGACCCAACGGAATGAGGGGCGATGAGGACACAGGCGTCATTGCCATGTAGCGCCAGGCTGCCGCTCACCTTCCAAGGAGACAACCACGGACTGACCGGCAGGGGGTGCGCACAGTGCGGACACGCAGGAGGAAGGGACGCCTCGCGTTCCCGGGCGGAACAGAGCGGGACGGAAAGAGATTTCATCAAGCTACTCAGAACGGCGTGAAATTTAAGACTTACGAGTTGTAAATTTCTGGAATTTTCCATTTCATATTTTTGGACCTCGGTGGATTGTGGGTGACTGAAACCATGAAAAGGGAAACCACAGATACGGGGGGACTGCTGTACCCCCACTCGCATCGTTGGGAGGGCGATCCAGTGAGATACCGGGAAGCTCAGTGCCTGGGGACGGGAGTATAATCAGCTCGGGAAGCAGCGGCTAAATCAGCCTCCCAGGACCCTGCCTCTTGGTGTTCACATCCTGTGCAGCCCTGTCCTGAGAGTGGGCTGGAGTCTGGTGACCTGCTTCCAACCAGTGGGATATGGCAAAGAGTGACGGGATGGCACTTCTAAGATGAGGTGACAAAAAGAGAGACGGGCTCCCAGCCTACTCTCCTACTCACATCCTCCAGGGCTGTCTTCCTTGCCTGCCCGGGTGGAGGCCAGCTGCCAGGCCGGCAGCTGTCCTGTGGGGAGGTCCACGAGGCAGGACCTGAGTGGGGCACTGCATTCTGCCAACAGCGTGGAGAAAGCTCTCCGAAGTGTGTGTCTCCCCCAACAGCTCTTGCCTCGACTGCAAGCCCCGCAAACCCCCGGAGAGCAGCCTGGGAACCGCCCTGACCCAGAGGACCCAGGTGCTTGGCTTCCCGACCCACGGAAACTCTGAAGTGACGTGTTTGTCGTTTTCAGCCACCAAGTTCCAGGGTGATTTGTTACTCAGCAGTAGCTCACTAACACAATCAGGCCAACACTGACACGTCCAGCCAGTACCAGCGTCAGGCAGGTAGAGCGACGCTGAGAGCAGCACAGGGGCGGGTCTGGCGGGTCCTTGCGGAGCCCCCCGCTAGAGCGCCGGGAGCTCAGGAAGGGGGCCTGGGGAGGGGCGGGTGAGGTGGTGGGAATTCATCCTACAGAAAGGCTCACACACGGGGCATGAAAGGACCTGCCAGTGAGGACATTCACTGAGACATCATGTGTTGTAGCAAAATCTCGGAAACAGCTGAAAAGCCTACACCCCGGGGACTGGTACGATCAGGGGTGTCCGTGCCATGGGCTGTCACGCAGCCGTGAGAAAGGAGGAGGCACATGCTGCTCTGGAGTGGTGGTGGGGGGTGCACTTCGCTCCGGGGAACGGTGGCATCGCAGGCACCGTCACCGGTGTGCAGTGCGCCGTGCTGTGCCGTGTGTGATGCGTTTTTGGCCCAAACTTTCAGGGAGAAAGATCTTTCATTTTAACTTTTTAATTCAATTACTTATTTATGTGTATTTAGATACTTTTTTTGTATTGTGAAGGAATTTTAGCACTTATTTTTGGACATACAGGTATCATTACTGCTTTCTAGAGTTACACTTTTAACACACAAGCGTAAAGAGATTAAAAAAACACGTAGGTATGAAATTAGTACTGCGCATGTATAATGCACATCCTTATTTCCCCCTCAAAAATGTGGGCAAAAAGTATGCGTTATAAGCAGCAAATATGGTACATACATAAACTTATCTGAAGGCCTGTAGCTGTAGAAATAACCTGGTTGCCTCAGAAAGGGGAACCGGGGTGGGGGCGGGGCAGAGACGGGAGAGAAACCCACTTTTTCTGTCTCCTGGAGCCCCCATGATGCTCTTCTGTCACCTGGCGTGAGGAGGCAGCTATGACTGTGCTCTGCGAGGACTCACAAACCCTCACGTGGTGTCTGGAGATTTTCTAAGCTGGGGGTGGCTGAGGGGAAGGGCCCCGGCTCGCCTGCCCGTCAACACCCAGGGCAGTACCTCCCGCTGGAGATCTCACGGGATAAAACGGTTCCCTGCTTTAAGGGAGAGAAGGCAGACCTCCTTACGCCTCCTTTCTTCCCTTAGTTCCCACTCAACACCCCATGGTCCACCCACTTCCCATCACCACCGCCCCCTGCGCCCTCGAGCCTGGGTCAGCCTGAGAGGGGTCCAGCCCAGTCCAGGTCTCTGCTGAATCCCTGCAGACTCACCTGGCACATCCGGGGATGTGTTGACAGTCATGAAGGCGTCTGACAGGCCTGTTTTGACGGGGTGCTGGGAGGAGCTGATTTCCAGGACGGACATAGGGATCTGCAGCAGGGAGGAGAGGCTCCGTCTGACCCCCAAGCACTCTGGGGCCAGCCTAGACTCCCCCTCTGCGCTCCAGGCCCATCTGCCCGCTCGGCACCGCCTCTCGGAGGATGTGAAGACATCCCACAGCCAAGGGACCCCATTCAAATCTCACGTCTCGCCCACACCACCTTCAAGCACATTTCCATGTTCTATGCTCCGTCTTTGTGAATGGCACCTCCGTGCACGCCAGAGGCGTGAGAGTCACCCAGCCCCTCCCTTTTCTTCATTTCTGCCTCCTCCATCTAATACATCTCTAAATCCTGTTCATTAACCAGCTAACTGGCTCTCAAATCTGTCCAGTTCTCTCCATCGCCGCCCCCCACCCCACTAGACTCCAGGCCGGCAACACCTCTCTCCTAACTCATCTCCCAGCATTCCCTCTGAGCCACCAATAATCTGTTCTCCACTCTGAAGCCAGAGTGACCTTCGTCAAAAGCAAATCTGGTGCCCCCCGGCCCCGTCTTGCCCTCACTCTCTCCCCTCCAGCCATCTGCCTTCTTTCCGTGCTTTGTACCAGCCATGGTCTGTCTTGCCACAGGACCTTTGCACATGCTTTTCTCTCTCCTGAAACACACTCCGGTCTCCTCTTTGCTTCCTTAACTCCTATGCCTCCTGCAAACGTTAACTCTTCTCCTTAGGGGAGCCTCTCCTGACCCCCTACTGAGGCAGAGAGCCCCGTGATAGGCTCCGGTGACACAAGGCACCTCTACTTAGGAGCACTTTTTACGGTGGCAATTCTCTGCACTTGTCTCTGCAATTATTGTCTATTGTCTCAACAAGACTTCAACTCTGCAAAGGCAGGGCCCACAGCCACCTTAGTAACTAACTGCTGAGTCCCCAGCACCAAGCCCTATGCCAGGCACATTTCAGGTTCTCTGCAAACATGTGCTGAATGGGAAAACAAGGGCCACAAGCCCCAGCCACCTCTGAAGGTGGGCTCACTCACCTCTTTGTAGCCGAATACGATGCGGCCGTCGCGGTGCAGGGCTGCCTGGAAGGTGAAGCTGCCCCTGTCCTCCCGGCCTTGGAGGTAGACACGGTCCCACTGGACCACAAAGACTGTCCCTGCAGAGAACAGCAGAGACCTGGCTGGACGGGGAGGGAGCTCAGGGATCAGGGCGTTGCAGAAACAGCGGCCAAAGCAGCCTGGCCCCAGGTCGGGGCCTCTTAGGGACAATGGAGGCAGTTTGCAAATTTGACCGAAGGCAGGAGCTGGGTCAGCCGCAAACCAGCCTGGCCTCCAAGTTGGAGAGGAGCCGAAGACCCCACTTCAGCCCCCACACACCGTGCTCGAGCCCCTCTTACGCCAAGCATGCCCCTTCCTTCCTGCCTAAGCCGACATGAAGTAAAAAGGAGGGGAAATAGGAAAAATGCCTCTTCCCCTGGCATGGGCGGTTGGGTGTTCAGGGACAACCCAGTTGGAGTAAGGAACAATCAAGGTCCCTAGTGTTTAGTTCACCTCTACTAAGAGCCCAGCCCTTTTTTCTGTCATCTCGTCACATCCCGCCAGGTAGCAGGCGTCCCGTCACCAGCCCGTCCCCCGGCCCAAAGGTGGGGCGGCTGCCTCACTGTGTGACTCTGGCAGGTCCCTTGCCCTCTCTGGGCCCTGCATTCCTCCACGGGGGCTGGGCCGGGGGCATCCCAGGACTAGGTGACTTAGACTCCAAGATCTGGTCTCACCGTTGTCAAAGTAAGCAACTGTGGAATTTTCGGAGTAGCCGGGGTTGAAGTTGGCCATCAGAGGGGCCACGTACTGAGTCGCTGTGAGCATCCGATGGGTCACGTCACCAGTAAAGATGAAGCCTGGGGTGGGGGGAGGTGCAGAGGAGTCACCAGAGAACCCCCAGAGGGGCTGTTCCCTTACGGTCCCCCCACAAGGACAGGAAGGAGCCGTGCAGACTGAGCTGGGAGCAAGCCTTGCACCTCTGTCCTCTACACCCAACTGGCAGGCTCGGGCGTGTGTGGAGCAAAGGGGTCCCAGACTGGAGACGGTTCTCCCTGCCCCTCCAGGTGGGCACAAACTCCCACCTCTCCCTCTCCCTGGGAGAATACACAGGAATCAAAGGTGGACCCCTCTGTCAACGGGGAGCCTGGTCCCAGGAACCAAGCTTTCAACGTGGCCTCCCTTTCCCTCTCAGTCACAGACGCAGAAACATGGGGACCACAGGACTGCCCACACTGGCCTGAGCAGGACTCACACACACACACACACACACACAAGAGCAGGCCAGCCATGTGAGGGCGGTATTGGACACCATCAGTGGCCTCCCCCCCAAGAGCGGGCTCCCAGAACAGTCTCACATGGATGCCTCCCTGGTCCATTTCCCCAACCCTATCTCTGGGGGAGCCCGTCCCACCCGGTAGGTCCCCCAAGTTCTGGCTGAGAGCTCCAAATCCTCCCCCATCCCCACGGACCGGGCCTTACCTCCGGTTGCTATGGTGATCTGCCGCAGAGGATGCCCGTAGAAAGGGAAATCAAAGGACAAGACCACCCTCTGCAGGGGATGGGAGAGAGTCAGCACGGGCCAAGCTTCAGGCCAGGGGGCTGGACAGCTACACTGCTTCATGCTTGTGTGGACAGGGTGGGGGCAGGCATGTGCAGGGCAGACTCACAGCGGGGCACCCCAACTCTGGCCAAGCCATCCAGGGTCCCCTGGGAGGCACCTCCCAGATCACACACCACAGGCCATCCGCCACACCCAGGGACCAGGTTGGGCGGCGGGGGTGGGCTCCCAGCCCCCCAGCCCAGGGCAGCACTGCCGGGACGGGGGCACTCACCGAAGCCTGCCGGTGGGTGTTGGAGAGGATTCTGTGGACCTTCACTTGGCTCCGGTTGGCCTTGGCCACGTCCACCCACAGCTCCCGGCTGCGGGGTTCGCTGGGGCCGTACAGACGGGACACATAGTAACTGTGGTTGTCCTCCTGCCGCCACCCGAGACAAAGCCCACAGGAGGCGTGAGGTGTCGTCGGGCATGCCAGGAACCACCCCCTGCCCCGCACCTCTCCCTCCCAGACCTCTGGATACAAGAAGTCACGGCCCTCCCGGGTAGCTGGACCTGTGGCCCAGATGGCTGAGTTAGTCCTGGCAGCCCCTGGGCTCCCCTTGGCCCCAAACGGCTCAGCACCCAGCCCCTAGCCACACCCATTGAGCTCTGGCCCCAGCCAAATCCAGACCTGCCGTATCCATGCTCAGCCCGGCCATTCCCGGAGAGGCCAAGAGGCCTTCCTTGCAGCCCTTGGGCTGTGTGCCAGGGAGGCACCCCCATGAAGCACACCAAGGTGGAGCTTGGCTTGAGGAACAAAGAGAAGTAGGGCAGCCCCAAACAGAGCCCTTGTCTTCAGAGAGTGCCCACAGTGAGGGGGAGACCCTTGCTCTGGGGAGTGCCCTTTTTAAGGCAGAAGGGGAAAACTGGATCTTAGAAGCTTAAAGAGGGAAGCAGACCCTTGACCTTGGGGAGTTGCTGGTCTGATGGAGGCGGTGGGGCTCATGCAAACAGAGAACACAGGCACAGACCCTCAAGCAGGGTGATGGTACAGAGCCCAAACAACAGTCACTAGGAGGTTTAGAAAGGGGAAGGAAGCAGCAAAGACTTCTTTAAGATGTGTTTCTAACCACCGCTGTGTGCCCAGTGGGGACCAAATAAAGAACACGCCAGAACACAGCAGGCGGGCGTTGATTCCATAAAGCCTTTGCTGCACGGGAGCACCTAGCACCGGGGTGGAAGAGAGGCTGGGCGATGGCTGGCAGAAAGGGTGGAAGAGCCGGGACAGGAAGGGCTGTCACAGCAGGTCAGCCCGTGGAGCGGGGGGAGGCGGCCACAGGAGAAACGGCGGCCAAGCGGGCAGCTTCCCTTGGCTGCAGCCTCGGAGACGGACACGGGGCTGCTGACCCGTGAGAAGCCCTGGCTGCCGTGGGCCATCAATCAGACTGTCCGGAGGCTGTGGCTTCAGACACAGCAGAGCAGACGGCACTCTCTCTGCCAGCCGTCCCGCCGCCCCGCCAGCCCTGGCCCTGGCCCTGGCCCAGCACGAGCACGAGCAGGGGCAGGACGCCTGCTCTCCCCACCCGCCGCCGGGAGGAAGACTCTGCTCTTCCAGCAAGTGACACTCACTGGGAGTCTGGGGTCGGGGCAGAGCTGGGGGAAGGTGAGCAGAAGAAACACGTGGACGGGGGCGGCGGTAGATGTCGACTGCCGTCCCCTGGTCTTACATCCATCGACTAAAACTAAAACACGTCTAAGGCGGCATTGCGTGGCTCACAAGCCGTCAGGGGCGCCCGTCGCCCTTGTGACAAAACCCGAACCTCAGCCCGGCACCCAGAGTCCCACCGTGAGCCAGTCCCACCCTCTCTCCAGCTGCACTTCTCTCTCCCGCTCCCCTTCCCCTGGGCATGCTTGTGCCCCCACGCACCAGACCAGACGCCTCTGGTGGTCTCACTCGGGCCTTTGCACGCGCTGGGCCTCCTGTCCGGAAGGACCTTCCTTGCCTTCTCCCCATGGCTGATACCCACTCCTTCCATGTCCAGCTCAAACCTCACCTTCTTATTGCCCTTCTCCCCCTACGTGCCCAGTGAGGTCGTCCATCCCTTGACAACAGCCCCCACCTTCCATGGGAGCCCTCGAGAGGTGTGTGTATCCTTTGGGCGAGTCACGCGAGCACCCCCTTGCTTGAGTTCTGGTTTTACTCGTGAGATCCCCTGAAGGGGCCAACCGGATGCCACCGCCCCTGGGGTGAGGACAAGTGCCCACGTCAAGAACGTTGCCACAGTCACCCGCCCCGGGGTCCTGGAAGGTGCCGATGGGAGGAAACACTGCTCCGCAGCTCTGCCTGTGGGCGCTGAAGCGCTGTACCAGTGGCCTTCCTCCAGGAAGCGGCGCCTTCCATTTCTGCCTCTCCTCTGACTCCCACGGGGGTCAGATGCCACGTCTTTCCCTCCCAGGTCTCCAGCCCTTCCACCTCCACCCATCTCTGCTGGGGATCCTCACCTTGATCAAAAAACAGACAAACAACCCAAAACATGCCCCCCCCCCTGGAAAAATCACCTGCCAAGAAAGAGAGCTCCAGCACACCAACTCACGCAAACAGATCCGTGTGACGGTGTCCCCAGCCTGCTTCCTCAGATTCACATGCTGAGTGGTTTTTATCACACCACAAGGCAAAAAATGAGGGCCCCCCAAATGACACTGTGTATCTGATGGTCTGCAGGACCCTAACTCTGACCCCAACTCAGTTGGGACCACCTTCCAGAGCTGCTGCTACAGCTTACCTCTTCTTCCCCTGTCGTTCAAATGTAAAAGTGGTTTATTGCCCTGGCTGGCGTGGCTCAGCGGATTGAGTGCTGGCCTGCCGACCGAAAGGCTGCCCTTCTGGATTCCCGGTCAGGGGGCACATGCCTGGGTTGCAGGCCAGGTCCCCAGTTGGCGGCGTGAGAGAGGCAACCACACACTGATGTTTCTCTGGCACATCAATGTGTCTCTCCCTCTCTTTTTCCCTCGTTTCCCCTCTCTCTAAAAATAAAAATAAATAAAATCTTTAAAAGTGGTTTATTAACTTTTGAGGCTAGAAAAAAAGGGGTTTATTAAAGGGCACGGGTCAGCCTACAATTTTGCCTGAAGAAAGGAGAACAAGTTAGATGCTATTGAGGCTGTCAGCTGCGCCCCTTCCCCCTCCATCCACCTGCCCAAACTTTGATCCCCTGACAAGTGGGGACAGGCAAGGTCACCTCTGCACCCATGGCTCGAGGTCCTTGCATCCTCAGAGCTGGAGAAGTGTTCGCTGAGGTGAATGAGGAGGGAACCCAGACCCTTCTTGCCCTTTTACAAGAGAAGGAGAGATTGGTGCCTAGCATTGAGTTGAAACTTTGGAAATAAACCTGGGCAGCCCTGGCTGGTGTAGCTCAGTGGATTGAGCACTGGCCTGTAAACCAAAGGGTCGCGGGTTCGATTCCCAGTCAGGGCATGTGCCTGGGTTGCTGGCCAGGTCCTCAGTGTGGGGCATGTAAGAAGTAACCACACATGGATGTTTCTCTCCCTCTCTTTCTCCTTCCCTTCCCCTCTAAAAGTAAATAAATAAATTTTAAAAAACACTAACAAAGCAGGGCAGCAGCTAATGGAAACAGGTGTTGCCGTACTGCAGGAGTCGGCTGAACACAGCTCCCCACTAGGGACCTGCGCAGGCCTGTGTTTACAACAGCTGTCTGTCCGCAGGCTGGGAGACGGGTCCCGTTTCCATCACCTGCGTCCTGGGACGCGCCTGGTGATAGCGTTCACTGAACCTCCACGCGTTGGAAATGAGGGCCCTGGACGGAATCCACGCTCTGCGGTCGTGAAGCCCAAACATGCTGACGTGTCTCTTGCCGCCTCACCGAAGAGGCAAAGGCTGGCGTGACTGCGGACGCGTCTCAGCAGCCCAGCGCTCGACTCCTCTGTGTCCCGAGAAAGAAAGCGGTCCGCCGCCCCAGCAGGCGCTGCTCCGCCCAGGAGCCGGGCTGGCTGCTGCTGGGGGACCCTTGGACCAACAGAATCACCTCACTCCTAGAGTTCCCACGGAGCCTCCCAGTGGCACCTCTTCGGTGACGAAAGGCCTTTTCTGTCTAACCCAAGGAGAGTCAGAAACTAAAGGAGCTGCTGCCTCTAGCTCCCAGGCGGAGATTCTCTCCAGTGAGTTAGCAGACCCCTGGGAGAGTGAGGGCCTCGACACACACGGGGCACACCCCAGCCAGCTGGGCGAGGCCGAGGCTCTGCCTCAGGCCTCAGAAGTGCCAAGTGCAGCCCCTGATGGCGTGTCTCAGTGGATTGACTGCCAGCCTGTGAACCAAAAGGTCACCGGTTCCATTCCTGGTTAGGGTTGGACGTCAGGTCCCCCGTTGGGGGCGTGTAAGAGGCAACTGATTGACGTATCTCTCACACATTGCTGTTTCTCTCCCTCTTTCTCCTTCCCTTTCCCTCTCTCTCTAAAAAAAGTAAATAAATAAAATGTTAAAAAAAGAAGAGTGCCAAGTGCCTACCAGGGGAAGAACCGCCTCAGGGGGCAGCACCATGCACGGTCCGCCGTAAGTCCCAAGCAGGCCCCGGCAGACCCCTCTCCTGGCACAGGGTGACTTTGATTATCCGCTGGAAGCTGCATCTGTTTAGAGCCCCGGCCCGGGGAGGCTCCCTGGTGATGGCTGCAGCCTCGAGAGAAGGGACACCTTGGAGTGGGGGTCATTCCTGGACAGAGCCAAGGAGGCCGTGGGGCGGGGACGGGCTTGGGAGAGCTGGAGGAGAGAGGAGGACAGCTGGCGTTGGCAGAGCTGTGACGGCTGCGCTGGGTGTTCACCTGACAACCCTGGGAGGTGAGCACTAAACTTGGTCCCGTTTTATAAGTGGGGAAACTGAGGCCCGCGTATCTATCCGCATCCATGTCAGTCTCGCTCAAAGACGATGCCTTCTCCTCTGTCCACTGTTTCTCGGGTCTTCAAGTCACTGCCTCACCGGGAGGTGACCTGGGCTGTCACTGGTTAAAATCTCTCCTATCAGAGAAACCAGCCCTGGCTGGTGTAGCTCAGTGGATTGAGCGCGGGCCTGCAAACCAAAGGGTTGCTGGTTCGATTCCCAGTCAGGGCACAGGCCTGGGTTGTGGGCCAGGTCCCCAGTGGGGGATGTGCAACACACAGCCACACACTAATGTTTCTCTCCCTCCTTTCCTTCCCCTCTATAAAACTAAAAATAAATAAAATTAAAAAAAAAGAAAAAGAAAAACCAGCGTAGTCCTTTAGGGCAGTGGTCCCCAACCTTTTTGGCACCGTGGACTGGAGGCCAGGAGCCAGATGGGGCGGCCGGACACTGCAGAGGGCGGGGGAGCAGAGCACAAGCCACAGCGCTCCGGAAGCCCACCCAAGGGAACCACGTGTCCGCGACATGCATGCAGGAAGTCCCAGTCCA